GCCCTAAGGAGTGTTTAGAATTACAAAAGTTCTGTTAGCACTACTGACACTAAAAGGTTTCTGGTTAAAGATTTTCCTGGAGGCTGCTAGAACTCTGGCTTCAGATTGACTCACATAATGTTGTGAAGGAATGAAGGACAAATGTATGGAAAAAATAAATGCCCACTCAAAAAAAAAAAAAAACCTTTATCCAAAAATAAGAATAATCTAGAAAAGAGAAGACAAGTAGGGATTTTAGTAATATCATAATTCAGACATGTTAAGTAAAAATTTCTAGAGATTACTTCCAAGGGAGAAAAATGTTCCAATCTAGGATGAGATGTGAATAGAACAGATTTATCCTATAGTTTTGGCAAGGTAAGGCCATGAAGGATTTATCCTAACAAACCACCTTAAAAATGAAGCTAAATTGTTAGAAAAATTTCATACTGTAACCTAGATTAAGCACCAACTCTCATATATCTCAGAATTAGAATAAACCAGAGAGTTAATGGAATTTGTTTCAAATTTATTATAGAAATCCCCTCTAAAAGATACCAGTCTGTAATTGAAATATAGACTAAGTATTTCCTAAGACAGGCAGCCCATCACAGCACTAACTGCTATATAGGTTTCTTTTTCCACTTATTGTGCTAGAGTGTACTTCTGAATATCTGTGATCCATCAATTCTAACTCAGCCCTTTGAGATAATTCCCAACAAATCAAATTCATTTTCTTATGATAACATTTTAAATGCTTGAATTGGGAAGAGAAACAAAACAAATTTTTAGACCGAGGATCCCATATGTTATTGGTATTTTATTTACATTAAATTATCCCTATTAATCCTTACAATGGTACTGCAGATTTTGAATTATTATTTAATTATATATTTAATGCTGGCTATGATGGTTATTTAAATAACCAAGAAAGCTTAAACTCTTCAAGATAAAATAACTAGCCTAGAATCAGATATTACATCTTTATTTAGTCTAAATAGCTCCTACTTCATTATGCTTTGGTTTCCAGGTTCCCCACTATGGTAATAATTGTCTTTGTACATGCACCTTATATAGATGTGATATCCAAATCTGTACACATTACGTAACATGTGATACGACCACAGCAGGAAAGAGGGGAACTCTCATTTTCCAGATTTATATTCCATATTTTGTTACGTAGTTTAAGTTTTCATTTGAGTTTTGGCATTTAATTATTTAAGACATATAATCTACAAAGTTTCCTAGACATCATCTGCCCACTAACTATACTTCCATTTTATACTTATAGCATCAATATTTTTTCAGTGCAAATGTAGTATATTGCATTTACCTACCAGTCTAAACATCCATATGTCAACTTTCTAGTGAAATCAACAGACTAAAGTATGCTTACCCCTTAGTTACTGACTGTTTTTATCCAACTTTTCACATTTACAACAATAGTGAAAAATCTGCTATCTGAGTATTTTGTGCATTACTGATGTAAGCCTTGCAGTAATGAATGCTGAGATGCAAGGTGAGAGTAACGCTGGCTATGATGGTTAAGTATATGTGTCAACTTGGCTGGACCACAGTTCTCAGTGGTTGGCAATTATGTGATGATATAATCTGGCAATTACATAATGATATAGTCACACTCCATTTTGTGATCTGATGTGATCATCTTCCAGTTTTGCATAAAGCTAATTTTTGCATAAAGAACTTGTTTTGGGAACCTAACTACGTTTATAAGTGAGGAGTGGGTGTATTTTGCATATATTGATTCTGGTTTAATGCCTGTTGCTAAATGGTCAAATGTTAATTGATAATGACACATTGACAAAACATGACTTACCATTTTCAGCATGTTGCGAGCAGTGGGATTTGTCATCCTCCTTAGATCATTGTGCTTGTTAATAATTTCCATTTGGACTGATACATGATTCGTCAATAAGGAGGAAAATGAGGGATTTTTCTTTAAAAAGAAGCAAAAAGATTAGTAAGAACTATGTTACCAAATTGAAAAATCAGTGAATTTATTTTAATATGGAAGTTAATAGAAATGTTTATTTTAACGTTCTTGAACTTTAGTATATATCAGACTCACAGAGAGAGCTTGCTCATACCCAGATTTCTGGGCTTACACCCAGAATTTCTGATTCTGGAAGTTTGAATTGGGCAGGAGAATTTACATTTCCATCAAGTCACCTCTGGTAGCATAGTGGCTAAGACACTTGCCTGCTAACCAGACGGCTGGCGGTTCAAACCCACCAGCCACTCCTCGGAAGGAAAGTTGGGCAATCCTACTTCCATAGTGATACTGCCTCGGAAACCCAAGGAGGGGTCGCTATGAGTCGGGTTTGACTCGATGGCACACAACAACAACAACAAGTCGCCAAGGAACACATTTAGATAGCCATTGGAATAATTCATAAGCTTGTTGTGTGGAACTTTGACTTGTCCTTTTGAATATGATCATTTTTTGCCTTTAGTGAAAGATTAATTTGATTCATAAGACCTGTCTACATATGGTCATATAACAAAACTTGCAAGATTTCAAGCCCTTATCAGTGGCCTAGTGAATACCAGAAAATTCCAATGAAGCAAAAGAATAGTCCCTAGAAGTCTGCAAAGACAGAATTTGAGCCATATGGCATGGAGCAAAAAATATTTACTCAAAATACAGAGAATTTCAGGCTTTTTCCTTTTTAATATCTTACAACATATGGAGGCTATTTAATATAAATATTATTCAGATTATAAAAAGAGTCATATCTTGAGATGTATCTGTCAACTATATTCATTATCTAATAATGGCTATAACTTTGTGTATATGTTATCAACTTCAGAAATTGTTCTTTTCTGTATTTATAAAAGCATAACAGGGAAATACCCTATTTAAAAAATGGAAAAATTACTCACATAAAAAGTGTGGATTTTTAAAATCGAAAGAAAGTTCAGAATCTTCCATTACAATGCCATGCTAGTTTTTCTCTATTTTCTGTCCTTTCCAACCCAATAATTAACTCCTCTTTGCCCTGCCCTGGAAGCTGACCTTTTAGGCTTGGACCACGAGGCTCCCTTGCCAGCTGACTTTCTGAGTAGATTGAGGTAATGGAGGCACTGATAGGAGAACCAGAGTGGGAGCAGGGGGCAAGTCAGGGTACTTCTTGTCCACTTCTTCCCGGCTTTCCCCTGCATCTCTGGAAGTGCCTGTCCTCCTCCTTGTCTCTACTTTCTTGGATCCAGACTCTATCACACTATTTTCTTCTCTAGTCCCCTTAGGCCTGGGAGTAGAAAGGCTTTCCATGTTGCTTAACTCTATCTTGGTTCCTTTAACCTTCTCTTTCCTCTGTAAATAGGAGCTCAGGTAGTGTAGTGGTTAAAACATTCAGCTGTTAACCTAAAGTTTGGTGGTTTGTACCCACTGGTTGCTCTGTGGGAGAGAAAGATGAGGCAACCTGCTTCTGTAAAGATTTACAGTCTTGGAAACCCTTTGGGAGCAGTTCTCCTCTGCCCTAATAGAGTCACTATGAATCGGAGTTGACTCAGTGGCAATATTTTTGTTTTTTTTGTTTTGTTTGTTTTCTCTGTAAATATAACTTCATCAAAGCCCTTTCATTCAGAACATTCGTATTAAATTCTGTTCCCTGTGTGGAACCTGAGTAAAAGACCCCTTTCATTTTACCCATCAGAAAACAGAGATACAGAAAGGTTAAGTGGGTTATATCCATTATACTATATACAGAAAGAAATTACTTTAAATTCAGAAATGTAAATTAACTAAACAAATGGCATATCCCCTGTGTTCATGGGCTCAATTTTAGTAATGAATGCAATATCCCATTGACTAATTTATGTACATTTTATAGATATGGGCCCATGAAGTTTAAACATTTCAAAAATCTCTTACCTAAAGTTACAAAATTAGTGAAAAACAAAGCCAGAACTTGAATCAGTTTTTTTTTTTTTTGACACTACATCAAGCCTAAGATCTTTCCAGTTATAACTGGCACCTGGAAATACAACTATTGCTTTGGAACACCTTTAAACTTCAGCTACAATTTCCAACTCCAATGTGTTAACAGTAATCTGGCAAAGATACTAAAAAGATCTATGCAATTATCTATCTATAGAAAACTTGCTTGTACTTATCTTCTGTTGAGAAATGTGAAAGTTGTTCTATTCTTTTGGTTTTTGAAACAACTTTCTTGTCTATAAAAAGCTTCAGTTCTTTAAATATACGTTTACTTTACATAAACACATAAGTCAAATTACAGTAATCACTCTGCTTCAGGGTGTAAAATAAGCTTCCTTTCTCTTGGCACACAAATTAACTTCCACGCTCTACTTATTCTGATTATCAGGCTGCCAAAACTTTTCTCCCAACGAGGTTGAGAGGGAGTGCAAACTTCCTGCCTAGCGCTTGCATTTCTTCTTTTAGGAAGCAAAGGGATATATCTTATTTCTCTCTTACACATCTTTCTTAAAACTCACATCTTTCTTAATTTGCTCACTTTCACTTGCTTCCTCACTTATTGTACTCTGTCCTCTGTCCCCAGAACTCCACAGAATTGATATCTGATTCAACAGCAAGGAATAGAATGTAAACCTTTCATTTCTTATCTTAATTTTCTCAGCAGCATTACACAATGTTGAATGCACCCTTATTAAATAACTTGTTTCCCTTGGCTTTTGTGATCATCCTTCCCAGTCTCCTTCCTTCTCAGCTTCCTTTCCTCTGGGTTGTCATTAAATTTTAGTGTGTTTCTGTGTTTGTTGCAGAACCCTTTTTCTTTTCATTTCTTACATTTTCTACTTTGTGGTTTCAATGTTGTTGATATACTGACAATCACCAATGTTCTGTCTCCACTTCAGATCTCATCTATGCATCACCTGAAACCCTACCTGCACCAACTGATTTCATCTTTGGCCTCTCCTAGTGCCTGATAATCACTCTAGTGAACGACATCACCAGTGGCACTTGCCATATATTGCCACCCTTCTCTCATGTCTCACATCTAACCATTTTTCCAAATCTTGTAGCTTCTACTTTGCATATCCCACTCCCATTGACTCAATCCCAACTCATAGCAACCCCCTTTGGGTTTCCGAGGTGGTAAATGTTTATGGAAGTAAATTGCCCAGTCTTCCTTCTACAGAGTGGCTGATGGGTTTGAACTGCTAACCTTCTGGTTAGAAGTCAAATTCTGTAGGCACTTCACCACTAGAGCTCCTTGTAGATGATGATCATAGTCTTTCATTTAGATTACTGGACAAGTTCCAAATTGGTCTCCCCATTGTAGACTTGTTCCTGCCATAAAGTAGTCAGAGTGATCTTTCTAAAATGCAAATCTGACTGTTGCTGGTGTGGTTAGCTACAGTTGAGTAAATACTGACTCATGGAGATTCCATGTATTAAAGAGTAGAATTGCTCCATAGGTTTTTTTTTTTTTTTTTTTAAATTTTTGGCTGTAATTTTAATGGAAACAGAGCATCAACTCTTTTCTTCTAAGGTACCACTGGGTGGATTTGAAACTCCAACCTTTGTGTTACTAGTCAGTTGCAAATAGGTTTGCACTGTGTCAAAAAAAACCAAACCAAACTCACTACCATCCAGTTGATTCGACAAATAGTGACTCCTCCTTGGGTTTCCAAGGTGGTATCTCTATGGAAGTAGATTGCCCAATCTTCCTTTCAAGTAGTAGCTGGTGGGTTTAAACTGGCAGCCTTCTGGTTAGCAATCAAATGTCTTCTGACTCTATTACTGCTTAATTCAAACACTTCTTGATTGCATTTAACATTGCTCATAAGGCCTGGTGTGATGTGGCCAACTGATTACTGCTCCAGTGCATAGCTGATCTCTTCTGACTCACCATGTGTGTCCCACCAAAAATAAAGGGCTCTTACTCCTTCATACACCAAGTTAGATTATGTGCAAACTCTCATGCTCTCTCTCTTATCTGTTAGATTTCAGTCCTGATATACTTTTTTCCTTCTCCATCTCTGCTCTAGACCTTTACTGGTCTAAATTCTACTAATTGGATTATAATGAGGTCTATATGAGATGATAAGTAAAAAATTGTTTAGAAAATTTAAAAAACTAGCTATGTATTTTAGATATTGTTCAATAACAATATTTGTTAGAACTCCACCATATCTGCTTTCACATGACAACAAGCAATATAAGCTTGTTGACTCATAAATCCTCTATTAATCTGAAGCTTTATATGAGTAGTTACTATGTTTTGTTTGTTTGTTTGTTTTTTAACTTACTGCTCTATCTCTAGTGCCAGGCACAATGTCCAGTGTTTAGGAGATACTAAGTTAGGTAGTTGTTGAATTGAATAAACTAAAATGAATTGAGCTAAACTTTGAAAGCCAAACATAATTTTATCTTTGAATTGTTGCTGTTTAGGATTTTAAAGTATCAGTTTTATACTGCTCCAGTTCTAGAAACTAATCTTCAAGCATGTTTCATTCCTCAGGGGAGTAATTTACTGATGATAAAATGAATTATTGTAAGCTTAAACAAAAACAAACAAACAAAAAAAACTATTGTCATTGAGTAATTCTGACTCATAGTGAACTTATAGACCAGAGCAGAACTGCCCCAGAGGATTTTCAAGGCTGTAATCTTTATGGAACCAGATTGGCACATTTTTCTCCCTCAGAGCAGCTGTTGGGTTCAAACCCCCCAGCCTTTCAGTTAAGAGCCTAGTACTTTAAAGGCCCATTTAAACCACTGTGCAACCAGGGCTCCTCCCTGTAAGGTAAGTGGGGAGTTGATATTATACTTCTGATTGATGTTCTGTTTCACATCTGATAGTAATGTTGCTGATCTATCATCTTATTTCTCACCCAGTAGTCTTAATAAACTTATCCTGAGTCATTCCTACCTCTTGTCTGACTATCTGTTCATTAAAGATACAAATTGATGAGAAGCAAGGTGAGGTCAGAGGTACATTATATGGCAAGGGAATGTCAAGAAGCTAATTGCCTTCTTTCTCCATTCCAGGAGATTTACAACCGTCATCTTTTCTACATAGTATTATTCACCATGATGTATGGCTAAGGCGGATCTACTAGTAGACTTTAAATTCTATTTTATGTCAGGTCCTTACCATGCCTGCAGCTTGTTGCAGCAGCACCATGAAGAATATCCCTGCCAATACCATTGTCTCTGAGAATAAATGAAGTTTTTATGAGATTTAATTGTACAGAAAAAGTGTTTGCTTTATAACAAAACAAACAAGCTAGCTAAACACGATTGTCTTTCCTACTAAAATAAACCTCATCCTTTATCTACAAATGTAGATTGTATTCTTCTGTTACCCAGTCCTAGGTTGGAACCCCAACATATAGAAGCAATTTTTCTTAATACTTTTAGAAGGATAAAAATTTGAGGCATAATCAATAGATAAAATTAAAACTTTGATCTACAATAATCCATATTACTGATGAACATCTCCAATTACAAGAATGAGAGTTTAAAATTTTGTTTTTAAAAGTTTCTATCTTGGCTGTTATAATTTTGGAGGGGGCAGGAACACATGTCACAGATCTTCAAGGTTACATACCAAAATGATAACAATGGGAGTGATGGAATTTTAGGTCCATTCAACTTCTTCTTTTAATTCATACAATTTTCTATGGTGAAATTATTATTGAACATATATTAAAGTGTTACTTTTATAACTCCTTTTACTTGAAAAATTACTTCTGTCTGTTGAGTGAAATTTGCAACTCATTTTCTTTTTGTTGAGTTTCTAATTCTTTTTCTTTATAATCTTTAATTATTAAAGTGATCTGTCAGGATCTCATTAGGACTCTTGTAAAAAAAATTGGACAGCTTATCTTCATCAGTTATTTTACATATTATGTGATTTTGAATATACTCAGTACCCTAGTAGTTTTGTCCTTGATATACTCTAGTTTATCTATTAAACCTAACCCATTGTTGTTGAGTTGATTCTGACTCATAGTCACCCTATAGGACAGAGTAGAACTGCCCCACAGTGTTTCCAAGACTGTAATCATTATAGAAGCTATTACAACTTTTTCTCAATAATCCCCTTAAAAAGTGCTATGCTTAAAAGGAACATAGTATTTTATGCATGATCAATCTTTTAGTTTATTTTTTATATTGGACCACTGAAAAGCTGAGAATAAAAATATTTGGAATACAGTCTAATAATTAATACACTCACATCTACTAGTAATAAAATTGAAGGTAAAATTAAAGGCTAGAAAAGTTTTCTTCTTACCATGAATAGCTTTTATTATAATATAATGTAGCAAATATTTTACCTGAGATAATCAGACAGGAAGGATAAGCTGTCCTTATATCCAGAAGGAGATAAACATTTTGACCTGTAGCCAGCAGTATATATATATACATTGGAACATGCATCGTTTTCACTTCCTGTTTGGTTACTCCACATTGTGCAAGGCAATAGTAATATACTGTGGTGAAAATCCCCTAAAAGATATCATCTGCTTCAGTACTAAATAAGCTCAATATTTAATTCTAAAGAAGAACTGAGTTAATGAAGATGGTTCTCCTATAATTACATTTAATAATATCATTAATGATTGGTTAGCAAAGGCTTAAGCTTTACTACAATAGTCTATAGAGTGTAACACTATTCAGCTAGGTGGAGATCTAAGTGTTTTTTCTCAATAGGATTCCATGGCATCCCTCACTAATTGGTTTTTGGTAAATTGCCTTTATGTAGTTTGTTTGTGCTGTTGTTACCTGCCATTGAGTTGACCTCTGACTCATGGCAACTCCAGGTTTTACAGAGTAGAACTATGCCATAGGGTTTTCTTGGTTGTCATCTTTATGGGAGCAGATTGCCAGGCCTTTTCTTCCACAGAATTGCTGTTTATAGTCTAAGAATTATCTAGCACATACTACAAAATCCCACAGTATGTTCCAGTATTAAAATTCATTATATAGTCTAGCATGAAATTTAAAAACATAGGAAATTTATTTAATTTTATTTTCATTATCATATGTCACTGTATTAAAATAAATCATTTAAAGATTTTTTGGAAGTTGGGGAAGCTTTTGTTTCCAGGGCATTGAATTTATGCTAATGGTGGTGGAATGTTTTGGAAAAGGATAGCAACAATGGTAGCATAAAATGAAAAATGTCGTCAATATCCCTGAGCTGTAAATGTGGAAGTTGTTATGTTGGTGAATGTCTTGTATATGTTTTCACCACAATAAAAGTGGAAAAAAAAATTGGATTTTTTAGAAGCAAGAAACCTAAAGCAATAACTTAATAAAAGGTCACTGATACACACCAAAAGGGAGAAAAAACTTTAGCTATGTAATAAATTAGTTATCAAAATAGTTAAGTTATCATGGATTTATTTTTTAAAAAAATTTCTTCAAGATTGCATCAGTCTATATTGGAAAGTCAGACACATAGTATTTTAGAGGGTGGGTTCTACAGCCAGTCATCCTGATTAATATCCCAGCTATACCACACATTCACTGAGAACATAGGACAAATTATTTATCTTTTTTGTGCCACACTTGTTTCATCTGTAAAATGGGAATAGGATTGATATTGATAAACATGGAATATTGAGTTGTTGTTAGAATTAAATGAATTAATTCATTTAAAATCCTTAGTGTTTATAATTATATTTTACTTAATTTTCATTAATTAAATTATTATAAAGAAGAAGTTTGGGCAATCTACTTCCATAGAAATACCACCTCAGAACCCAAGGAGAAGTCACTATGAGTCAGGTCCAACTTGTCAGCAAATAACAACAACAACAATGTAGGATGTGGTGTAGTACATAAGACATTTGACCGCTAACCAGAAGGGTAGCTGTTCAAACCCATCAGCCACTCCTTGGAAGGAAGGTTGGGCAAGCTACTTCCGTAGTGATGCTGCCTCGAAAACTCAAGGAGGGGTTGCTGTGAGTCGCATCTGACTCCACGGCAGTGAGTTTGGTTTGGTTATGTTTAATGTAGATGTAAGAAACTCTGTTGGCACAGTGGGTAAGGCATTTGGCTGCTATCTAGACTGTTGATGGTTCAAACACACCACTTGCTCTGCAGGAGCAATATGAAGCAATATACTTCCAGAAAAATTTACAGCCGTGGAAACCCAGTGAGGATTGCCATGAGTCAGAATCACCTCGATGGCAGAGGGTTAATGTAGGATTTATTTTTAGGACATTTCCTCTAGAAAGAGACTAGTTAGGTGTTAAAGTCAATTCCTTTGCTTCATGTGGCTATTAGTAATCCAATTAATTCTTCCTAGTTGAACCATCCAAGCTACTGTTCTTTAAGTAAAAATATTTATAAGCTGAGAAATTGAGAATTGTTAAGATATGAATTGTTAAGCTGAGAATTGTAAGACATGTATGCAAGCATATCTTACACACATTGATAACACTGTTTTTCAAATAGTCAAATTATTAGTGTATAACATCTATCTCCTGTAATATTTTTTCTTTTAAAGTCATTGTTGTTGTTTGCTGTCAAGTTGAACCCAACTCATAGAAACCCCTCCCTGCATTTCCAAGGCGGGATCACTACAGAAGTAGATTGCCCAACCTTCCTTCTGAGGAGTGGCTGGTGAGATTGGACCACCAGCCTTCTGGTTAGCAGTCAAGTGCCTTAGGCACTATGCTACCAGAGATCCCTCTTTTAAAGTAGTAAAAATTTATTTAAAAACATAATTATCTTCCCAAGTATCAGAAATTTAGAAATAAATTTAAAGAATTGCATTTATAATCTCACTATCCAGATGTAATCTTTGATATTATCTTGATTGATAGTATCTCATACATTTTTGTAGGGCTTTGTTTATAATCTGGGAACCCTGATGGCATAGTGCCTTCTGCTAACTAGAAGGCTGGCAGTGCAAGCCCACTCCTTGGAAGAAAGACTGGGCATTCTACTTCCATAGAGATACTGCGTTGGAAACTCAAGGAGGGGTCACAATGAGTCAGATCCAACTCTATGGCAGTAAGTTTGGTTTTTGGTATTTTTCTGTTGTTAATAATCTAATGATTTTTTAGTTGTATACTTGGGGCCTCGTTAGTCTTGAGTATTTCAATACTTACAGAGTTTAAAAAATAACTATGATTAAATCTGTTGTAATCGTGCATTTTAATGGCATTATTGTACTGGACATTTAAGTTTATTTATTCAGCAGTTTCCTATTCAATATTGATCAAATCTTTATTGTACATCAGGTACTGTATTCGGTGCTTCAGATAAAATGGTGATAAAACACAGATCTGATATTGTTCCCATTGAATTACTCTTCCAGGAAACAGAAAGTCATTAGCAACATAAACACAGAGTGAACATTATTACTAGAATAAATGGTAGAATATCAGGATGTTGAATGAGACTTTTCATATTACTCACAATAAATAAAAAGTCCTCAGCCAAAAATAAAAGGAGTTGAGAATGCCCCTTTTTAAAGTGATTTGTCAACAATTGGCATCAGATTGAGGACTTATGAAGAGATGGCACAACTTGCCTGGCTGTCGTCAGTCTCCATCCTAAATCCTTTGCTTGCTTCACAGAAAGTTGAGGAAGAAGTGAGATGGGACAAAGTCATGGAGACATCCTCCTTGTAGGAATTCTGTGCTTGTTATTTCCAACCTTTGCCTTCCTTCCCCCTTGCCACTGGACACACACCTAAAACTAAGACAAGGGAAATAACTTCAGGAGAATTACTTCCAGAGATTGGAAGTAATTGCAAGGAGAGTGATATTATTTCAGATTCTCTGGTTGAACACCAGCTTATTCAGTGCACATGCTGATCTGCTTGTAAGTCTAACTGAGCAGGAAGAAAGATTTGAAGAAAGTGGCTAGATGTAAAACATCCTGCACTGGAAACATTTGGTATAGCAAGGATGCTGGTGATTACATTTGGGTCATAGGGACCCACAGGACGCAATTAGAGCTTGAGCTATTTTATGGAAACCCCAATCAAAAGGTCTGTCGCTCAGCCAGACAACAGCAGAAATAAGAAATTGTAAACTATATTTAAGTAAGGGTTCTTGTGATAAAAGATATAATGTTTAAAAAGTATTTTGTAGAGTGCCTGACACACAATAAGTGCTAAATAAATATTAATTATTGTTGTTATTATCACTATTACTCTAATCTTTCAGCCAAAATGTCCCCAGT